CTCCTAAAAAAACAGCAAAATCAATCACGTGAGAAAAGCCACTATAAGCCACCACAAGCCACCACAAACCACCATGCACGGCCATTTAAAAAATGGCTGGTTTACTTAACCCCATGCTTATGCTCCACTTGCATTGTAACCAAATATTTTTCATAATTTTTAATTTTTTTTAAAATTTAAAAAAATATAAATAAAAAAAATAAACATAAATAAAATAATAAAAATAATACATAAAATAATTTTCCCCTTTTCCCTCCCTTTCCTCTCTTTCTCTTTCTCTTTCTCTTCTCTCCTCCCTCCCCCTCCCTCCCCCTCCCTCCCCTCCTCCCCCTCCCTCCCTCCCTCCCCCTCCCTCCCTCCCCCTCCCTCCCCCTCCCCCTCCCTCCCCCTCCCTCCCCCTCCCTCCCCCTCCCTCCCCTCCCTCCCCCTCCCCTTTCTTCCTTCTTCTCTCTCTTTTCTTTCTTTTCTTTCTTTTCTTTCTTTTCTTTCTTTTCTTTCTTTTCTTTCTTTTTTCCCCCTTTCCTCCCTTCTCCCCCCCTGTCCCCCCCCTCCCTCCCCCTCCCTCCCCCTCCCCCCTTTTTCCCTCTTTTCCTTTTCTTTTCCCCCTCCTTTTCTCTCTTTTCTTTTTCTTTTCTCTTCCCCTTTCCCCTCCTCTCTTCCCCCCCTTTCTTTTTTTGTTTCCCCTCTTGGTTCCCCTGCCCGTGGAATCTCTCATGGGTTAGGTAAACGGGCCATTCTTTTCAATGGCCGTGCGTGGTGGCGTGTGGTGGCTCGTAGTGGCGTATCTCACGTGAAAATGATTTTGCTGTTTTTTTAGGAGAATTTTACTGTGTGGTTAGAGTTACTCGTGGGAAAGGAAAGAACTGTGAGCTGCTTAAGGATCCCCTAACTTAAATAAATTTACTTTAGAAGCAGCTAAGCAACACTTAGCAACACTTCGTAAAGTAGTATCCCGTAAACTGCCTAAGCCACCTCAACCTTTCGCCCATTTTGTATTTTGCCCATGCAAAGTCCATAACCAGCCCATGCATACGAAGGAATATCTTTTACCATAGCAGCTTAGGTACCGTGTAGATTGCGCCAACGAAGTCCTACGCATTCTAATAACGGAAAATAATTATTAACTGCCTGAATTGTCGCCATCTTTTCTTTTCTCTCTCCCCTCCCCTTTCCTTCATACCCTAGTCTATCGTTTTTTTAATTTCCTTTTCCATAATATGACCCCTTCGTCAACATCATTGTCGCCGCAGTCGTCGTTGTGGACTTGACTTTGATAGAAGCGCCTATATGTATCGGCGTTAAGTATCCTATCACATCTACATAAACCTGTAGACTTATAGGATCGAGGTGCATAATCCTATCAACATTTTATCTTGGCAATACGAATATCTCGATATTCTTGAGCGCGTTTTGCACGAGTCGCAAGATCAAAATGAAGCAACGAGAAGAGGATGTCGAGTCCCAAGCTCAGCTACTTTCTAAGGAGAGTCAGTCACCATCGAGCGAAGAATTTGACTACGACGAACCCGAAAACAGTCACCAAAATCAGTCATCACGCCGTAGACGTCGGATAGAACAGAATCCTTTATGGCGCCGTATCCAGTCGTTCACGTTACCTATCTGGGCGCCTTGTCGCAAATTCAGCCCTAAATACTACGTCTTCGCCATTGTCGTATCCTTACTCATCACGCTGTTCATCTTTAACCCCTATTCCCCGACAATACCTACCCAGCATCAGACAGACGTCGACGTGTCTCCCGGAACCCCAACAAGTACTATCGCATCCTCTACAAAAGCCGCAAAGCCCACCGAGAGTTCAACACCTGCATACAAACCACCAAAACTCGAGGCCAACGACAAATATTGCACCACATGGCCCGTGGGCGAAGATGGCCGATACGAACCCAAGGGAGCTAGCCGAGCCAACAAGATCAAGATAGATAGCATTGCTCCTAAAGGTGGATGGAAAAAACCAGCGGGTATCAAAGTCATCGGTATGGTCTTTTATGGCCGTAAGAGATATGTGGACCTCTTGGATTGTTACCTCCAGCAAATCTGGCATCGAATGGCGGCTACTTTGACGAGGTGTGGTTTATGGCCCACACCAAGGAAAAAGACGATGTTAGCTGGATAGAAGATCTTGTCCAAAAGACTCCCGGTTATAAGATTGTCGGCAAGGGAAAATGTGAAGGCGAAAAATATAAGTGCATGTGGACTTACGCCCGTCGAGGACAAAACTATCTATGTCAAAATAGATGACGATATTGTGAGTAAACCCTTCCATCCAGCTGGATGGTATCAGGAGACTGAGACGAGTTTGTTGACTGACCTAATTATGCAGGTTTATATCCACCCCGACGCCATCCCTCAACTTGTCCATACTCGCATTGCCCTACCTCATCCGTATGCCATCTCGTCAAACCTAGTTAACAGTCCCGTCACGGGAATGGAGCAATATCACTACGGTGCGATCCACCCCTTTCTCCCGGACCCGAGCAGCAAGCCTTCGTTTCATGCTGCGGAGACGTGGCGCGCTTCCGAAAAGAAGAAATATCCTAAAGACCAACTGGTGGACGAATATAAGATCATGGACATGGAACCGTCGTACCGCGGCCACCCTTGGCTCCTTATATCTGACGACCACTATGACCTACTGAAAACACCCATGGGAAAATACGACCAGAACCGTGGTTCCGACCCAATTGCATTCGGTTTGGCGTGGAAGTCGTGGGCTATCGGCGCGCAGCAACAATATTCTCTCTTGTACAATCTTGAGCAGAATAAGATGCAACGCTATTTCTTCGGCCGAAATATCCGATACCCGGAAAGCGCTTTGGGACCCAATGCTTCCGCAGTAGTCTTCCCTAACGGGGACGGCCCCGGTGGTGAGCAGACATATGATACCGGGTACAACCGATACAACTTGAACTTCTGCGCCGTATGGGGTTCCGATATCAGGGATCAACTACCCATTGCCGACGATGACGAGCAAGATATCACTGCGGATATTCCTAGACGCATTGGACGGCCATTCGTAATCGACACCCCTCCGTAGTAGGCCATTTTAGCTTCTTTACCCAGAAGGATGGTATCAATAAGAGCGATCTTCTAGATCGATGGCGAGCATTCGCGAACGAAGCGGTCTGCACCGCAAAAAACCAGAAGAAGCCGTGGGATCTGATGTGTCCGGACTTCAAAGCCGAGGGTGGTATGGGACGGTAGTAGAAGTTTCAACGAGGAATCGAAAAAAGGTCAAATCTAGCGGTGGTAATATTTCCTCACCTGATGTTCCATGACATTTTGCGTGGCGTTCCTGGGTTCTTGCATACGAAACGAGACCGGCCTGTTCCATACTGTACTATGAGACGTTTTAAGGGGAGCTGGTCGTCGTAAATGGGAATTGAATTGATGATGCGCTGCATTTGGGAGTTTTATACATACGGGAGGTCTCATGAGAGACGGGAAGGCGTAGAAATATCGTGAAATCTTCGCATGCATGCGTTCCTCTTGTATATAGATGACTGACTACCTACCTAGGAGATAGGTTAGGTCATCTTGGTCACGCCGCGGATTAAATAAGTAAAATAACATTGTAAGAAATGTGTGTTTTTCAGTAGCCCTTTTTTTAAAAATCCCGCTCGGTGAAAAGAAGAGTATATAAAGTATTTAAATGTTGGTGGTACGCGCGTCCCGAGCTGTCGGACCCCATTCCTAAACCTTGTTGCGTTCGCTCGCAGGGGTGGATTTATGTAGGGGGCGTCGGTGGCATGATTGGAGGTTTAAGAAAGGGGAGGTCTAAGCGAGGAGAATTTATAGGTTATGGATTACGAATAGGAAGGTCTTGAGTAATAATTCCCGGCGCCGCGTCCGGGTTTATATAAGTTAGGTCCATAGGTTGAGAGACATGATAGATGGAAAATTCGTCATGTAAGGACCCGGCGAACATATGCAAGGATAAAGCAAGTCGAGACGCCTATCGCTGTAGGTAGATAAGAGCGTTTGTTGTGTTCTCTTACAGCAAATAGGCCCTTGATGCGGCTCCGGGGGGGTGGGGTTCGTCGCACAGGATGGGTTGAGGTGCCGGATGGGGGTCCGAGGTTGGGGTGATTTATAGGTAGGTAGGTAGGTTAGGTAAGTAGTATTTAAATGATAGGTCATGTTGCTTTGCATTTATTTATTTATTTTATGATTTAGGTATGTTTGCTACCAGTAGGGGCATTAGGAGGTAGTTAAATGGAGTGGACGGCGGTACCGGGTATCGCGGCATCTGTGACGAGGTTGAAGTAAAAATGGGTGCTTATGCCCAGCAATGAGGCTCAAAGTTAGGTAAGCATTTTTATACATAACTATAAGTGGTAGTTAGGTAGTAGTTGAGCCAAGAAGTAGAATGGCGAACTATTTATAGATAGATAAAGTCGAAAAAGAAAAATAGGCTTGAGATAAAGACGAAAAAAAGAAAAAGAAAAGTTGGTCAAAATGACAAAATGGTCAGTCATATAGTAGTTGCGAAGTTGCTAAATAGCTCAAACATTATCCCGAGATAGATGCGAATGTATATATATGGTGAAGTATATCCAATAAATAGATGGTAGATGGTAAATTTGAGAGATGATCAGTTGAGCTAAATTGTAGTAGATGGCGGAATAGATTAACAGTGCTTTTGTTGCTACGGTATATGAGGTTTACTTGCTCGTTGGAATTTACATGTATGCTGCGCTGCGTACCTAGGTACCTAACCTTATAAGGCTCGTGCATCGGGTGTTTATTATTTTGCTTGCTCTGTTTGGTACTGCGGCGTGTAGTTATGAAAAATGCTGAAGCTATAAACTAGGTAGAGATTGAAAACAAAGCTTTAATAAGCTGTGTTGCCGGCGGTTGTTTTTAAGAAGGCCTTGAATGTAGATCTCAAATATCTGTACTTTTCAATTTTTTTAATATGTTTTCTATTCTACCTTATACCTTACTCAAGAGGTCAGCGGTTCTGGTAGGCGTAAGGTAGGGTACATTTGAATGCTAGATTATAAGGTACTTAACGGAATGGGAATAGACATGCATATACCTCGTGGGGCTTGTTTAAAAGACTCAAAGGTTTAGATAAATAGAATCGTATAATTAATACCTACCTAGGTAGCTCATCTGTTATAAATCAGGCGTAAAGATGTAAGCTTTTGCATTATGCAAGAGTGCTACCACTTAAGTATTTAGCAATATGTACGAGTGTTTTCTATAAAACGGATACAATTGTAATATTAATATACCACACCAGTGGTAGACCCAGATAATGATATACCTCTGTTTAAGTTCACGACGTCTCGACCATCTAGCTCATGGCATCAGCCTTTAACTCAAAATTTTTAAATCATATTTCTTGGAAATTAGTCGTTGGATAGATGTGAAGGACAAGCTATGAGTGAGATAGGAGCGCACCCGGACGTACATAAACTTCAGGTTTTTATGTTGCCCACAAGATAACATCCCGTAACCTACCTAGTATTAATTCCTATTGTCATTGTATAGTATCATAACATTAAACAAATACCTAAACTGAAATAGGGGTAACTACCTAGGTAAACAATAGTTGCTTATAAAAAGATTTGAACCCACCTAAGTATTTATATTAGTTCCTTGAAGCAAATGCACTCCTAGGTACTTAAGTACTACATTATGTGAGTCAGGTACTTACCTAAGATATGCTCGGCTTGAATAGCCATGGTTCGTATGAGAGGTTGATAGGCATGGCATATAGATCTTACCAGTCAAATGATATTATAACGGCAACAAACAACCCATACTCTCTATAATTAGTGTAGCTGAACTTGATGTTGACGCCTATAATTTAGATAGTAATGGTTGTATTCAGAGGCTACCTAGGTTAAAAGAGTGGCATGGATCAGCCTGTTCCATCAGCCTTGCGAGGAAGTTGATAGCCATACTGGCTGGTTGTCTCTAACAAAAGAGGTATGATAGAACTATTTGACATCGATGTGCCAAGCCGTAATATCCATTAGTGCAAAGCCTCAAAGCCCGAGATAGTTTACACTTGTTCCGGAATACCATAGCGCAGCTCCGAGTATCGTAACAGGGAGTAGGAACATTCCTGCCTTTCGCACCGTAGCCAATGCTATCGTTAATTTCCTCTTAGTATCACTTGCTCTGTGAGACTTCCGCTCGTTCAAGCGCGGGAAAGGCACATCAGGAACCTCTTTCCCCAGAAAGCGCATAGCGGCTCCCAACCATCCCCCATACTGTATTCCAATCGTCTCTCGAGGGGGACCATCTCCCTTATTCTCTTGTAATAGGCGTCGTAGGCCACGCGCGCGTTAGCTTCCACACCGGCCCTATCCTTGGCGCCGAAAAAGCCAAAATGGACCTTCTGCATGGTGGGGCCCGATCGTATGCCCATGACATGCTCCAAGAGAAAAACAGAGACTCGTGCTAGAGGAGAAAATAAGGTATCTAGTAGCTCGGACCTGTAGCTAGGCCACCAGGATTCGAAGTCTCGCTGGACGATGACAACTTTTGCGTCTGGGTATGCTTGAATGAGCTGGTCCGCAAACGGCGATGCCATATCAGTCGCTATGTCATACTGGGACCCCCAGAGCTCATCCCAGTCGGATCTTGTCAACGGAGGTCTTGGGCGTGCTCCGGGTACGGTCGGCCAGGTGGCCTCTGCCGCCTTCTCGAGAAGAGGCCAGGGCATGCCGAAGACATCATCCAAGCCGTGGTGGGTTTTGTATCCAAGGATCCTATAAGCTTCGGCTGAGGACCTAGTGGCCATGCGAAAGAGAGCTACGTGAATAACACGCAGACCGTCATGTTGCGAGTTTGGATTTTCGGTTGCCATGACTGGTGTCGGAGAATGTGGCGGCGCTGAAGCGGGAAGGGAAGGGAACTAAACATGTAACTAGCGACAAGCTTGCTTGAAAGTCGTTGCGACTTGGAATTTTGGGCGTAATATTGTCCATTCAAAGAACCTGGGTGTGATAAGGAGAAGAGATAGTACATGGTAGAGTTGCCTCATTATATTGTGAATGTGCTGAAATCTAAGGATATGCATCTACCCGCGTCGCTATGGAAACCCCCAGGTAAGTAGCGGCTCTTCAAATGTACCATATACATAGAGGGGTCATCTGAATTTGTATCGCTGTGTATCTTTTTTTTTTTTTTTTATGTGCACATGTAGTATTAGAGTCTAGGGGTGGGGGTGAAGCGAAGCAAAGTAAGGGAGCACAGGTAGTGTCTTGATATACATAAACGATTAGCGAAAATTAAGCTGGTTACGGAGGTGCAGAGGGAACACATTAAAGAAACCCAAAATTTGTCATTATACCCACCCCCACGTATAACCATATTTTTTTTAAAATTCGATAAGCGAATATATGATATAACTTAATGAAATAAATCGATAAAAATAAACGTGATATGGTAAAATTTATATATAATTTTAAATTATTTATATAATTTTTTAAAAATATAAATGTTTTTATATTATATTATATTTATTTTATTTATTTTTAAAATAAATTTATTATTTATAAATTAATAAATCATTTTAATAAATTAAAATCTAATAATATAAACTTTTTTAATTTATACGTTTATTAATTACTTACGTAATTTTATTAATTATTTTTTTTTTTTTTTTTTTTTTATTTTTTTTTTCTTTCTTTCCTCTCCCTCCTCCTTTCTTTTCCCTTCCCTTTCCCTTTCCTCCCTTCTTTTCCTCCCTTCCCCTCCTCTCCTCGTCTCCCCTTTTTTCCTTTCTCCGTTTCTCTCCTTTTTTCTTCCTTTTTTCCTTTCCCCTCCCCTTTCTTCTTTCTCTTCCCTCCCTTCCCCCTTCTTCTCCCCCTTCCTCCCTTTTCTTTCTTTTCTTTCTTTTCTTTCTTTTCTTTCTTTTCTTTCTTTCTCTTTCTTTTCTTTCTTTTCTTTCTTTTCTTTCTTTTCTTTCTTTTCTTTCTTTTCTTTCTTTTCTTTCTTTTCTTTCTTTTCTTTCTTTTCTTTCTTTTCTTTCTTTTCTTTCTTTTCTTTCTTTTCTTTCTTTTCTTTCTTTTCTTT